ATCAGTCAACTATCAGCATCGCCCAAAATGCTGAGCATCATGGGCGCTCCAAGCACATTGATGTGCGTTTTATGTTTGTTCGAGATCTCGTTGAGAACAAGGAGTTTATTTTCCATTATTGTCCTACCAAAGAACAACTTGCGGACTTCTTTACGAAGGCGCACCCGGAACCTGCGTTTCGCAGGTTCTGCCTTGCTCTGCGACTCTATAACCCTTGTGACCGTGTACCCCAGTGACCCTTGCCTATGGCATTGTGTTTACTTTATTTTTAAACCTATATGGTTATTATTGATATTTATCATGTATTATTTGCACCTGCTTTCTAAGCACACACCTTTCTTTCACCGCCTTCATTCTCGCCCTCGACCATGTGGCGACTTGTGCACTCTATGTCTGCTCGTGCCGTTTTGAAGTCGGCGGTCCCGTCTGGCCCGCGGCGCTGCTCAAGGATCGGCCGTACGAGTGGCGTCATGGTTTGTGCAAGTTTCTAGATGGTGCTCCCACGCCCCTCCATCCATCCTACTTGTACTTCATGGGTTTATACCACTACTCTCTGAGTATTACTTGTACTTTTGCTTCTGGCAATTTTACTTGGGTTTTTACCCGCTACTTTTAGCCACACTGTCTTAATCTTCGTTGCATATATGTACTCTATGGTATTTACCATGCTCTTCGAGCACCCTTGCAATTATGCATTACCTTAGGTTTTTGCCTTACTCTATGAATAACCAAGCACTTATGTGCTCAACACTATTTTTTGTGTGTTCCTGTCCTACCTACTTCGCCTCTGTTCTCAGGGTGGCTTTTGTAGTCACATGCCTTTGGCACTTTTTGGCCTTCGCGAGTTTTTCACTAAGCCGTTTTTTGCCTTTGGCATTGCCTCTCTTTGAGAACTTCGTCTCGAAGGCCTTCAGCAGACCGTTGCCCAGTGGGGTGGCCGTTCTTGCTTTGGCCTTTTTTTCGCCGAGGTTCGGTCACTTACGGATAATATCCGGTCATCCGGAATTATCCGGTGTTCTTTCTCTGTAGAAGCCGGACTGTTTATGCCCAATCATAGGTCAGCTAAACAGTCCGTTAATGGTCATCTTTGGTTTTGCCCTCGACCACTCAAGTGTTCTCGTCGTCGTCCCTTCTCAGTGCTACCCCCTACATCGTCCCTCTTGACAGATTTGCGATGGTAATATCCAGTGATATTTTATCAGAACTTTCATCTTATAACCGAAATAGACCAATCTGATAGATGAAATCGATTCGGCTCATCAAGGGCATGTAGCTTGGCTTGATGTGGAAAATGATTTGAGCAATTTCCTCGTACCGGTAGCAACGCAAGGAAGAGCAACGGTAAATCCTAACCTAACAAGCATAGGTTACATAAGCATACTTCGTTTTTACGGTTGCTATTTTGGCACTATCCGAACTTTTGTGAAATACTACGTAACGTTACTGGTATTAATAGTAGGGTGCAAACATGTCATCTATAAACTACCAACTGCTCGTTTTTATTTCTCAAAATCTTAGCAAATAGAGGCGTACTAGTACTAAGCTTAGTAGAATCGAGACATCTTGACATGGTGAAGTAATTCTACGTCTCATATTTAAATTTGGTGAAGAATTGGTCAAGAAATAGACATTTAACCAAGCAGTACTTTGGCCTCAGGGATTGTCACTGAAATATATCTTGATCTTTGTATGAGTCCAGTTTCCGTACATCATATCCGGAGATAATTGGATGATAAAATGCATGAAATTAACTTATTTCATTTTTGGGTTTAATTATATTAAATATACGTTATATCCGTAACTCTTGGAATTGAAATAGAAATAAAACACCATTGGAGATGCTCAGTAAATTCTAACCTATGGCTAAAGCCTAGGTTAAAGTCAACTTCGTTTTTACGGTTTCTATTTTGGCATTATCCGGACTTCTTAGAAATTACGTCCCGCAGAATTTCTATTTTCGGGTGAAATAGCAACAAACCCTCCGGATAGTGCAATAGTTTCTATTCTATATCCGTAACTTCGAATTGAAATAGTAGAGAACTTCTGCAAATGTTGAATTCCTTGTGAAATTTTGACAAAAAGAGAAAACAAATACTTTAAATCCCGATTTATCACTTTATACGTAGATTAACAGTAAGGTCCATTTGCCTCCGGATATGATGTACGGAAACTGGACTCATACAAAGATCAAGATATATCTCAGTGGCCATCCCTGTGGCCAAAATACTGCTTGGTAAACTAATAGTTTGAAAATGTCTATTTCTTGACCAATTCTTCACCAAATCTAAATCTGAGACGTAGAATTTCTTCACCACGTTAATAAAGTAGAATTCCTTGTGTCAAGATTTCTGCAACAAACCATTCCTTTTCGCAATCCGGATATCTGGTATTCATGCTTACCGGAATGACCAAGTACAAGTGCCAGGGTCTACCGGTAGTCCATTCAGAATACAGTATTGTCGTACCGGTACCCAGAATGGACGAGACACAGGCGTTTGTACTGGCCGCAGCTGTACGTGGATGACCTCTTTGAGCAGGTCTATGTCCGACGAAAATCTGAATCGAATGGCAGCCTTTCGTTTGGTTTCTATCGGCGTTGCTGTCATCGGTGACGGCCACTGATTGCAAAGTTAGGGTGGAGTGTGTGATATTAATCGGAAAGCTTTGAATAGTTCCGGTTATCTAAGTGGAAATTCTCTGCCTTATCAGAATTTCACACAAGGAAATTATTTCGATGGAAATACTTGTGAGCTCATCACAAGGAAATCCTGCTTGCAGAAGTTGTCTAGAAATCAGAACACCGTTGGAGATGTTCTAAGGGACTGGTCGCGGAATATTTGCGTCCATAGCTTCTGATTGGTATGGTGCCAGTCATCTAAGGACTACAAAAAAATGCCTTGTCCTTCGACAGCCATTCCAACATTGTATTGATTTTTAGGAAAATAAGCCGTAATAACGATAGAAATGGACAAGTCCAACAGAAGTTACAGTTCAGATTTTCGATTGGTGAAAAATTGATCGAGTAATAGAATTTAATCCAACCGGCCTTTTGTATGGAAATAAATATACGTATGGGCGCAGTTTCGTCCGTGCCACGATGCATGCTTGGTAGAAAACAATCACTCTGAAATTTTCAGCCAATCAGATGCAATTTTTGACAGATAACTGGATAAAATCAAGTGGCTCGGAGCTGTTTTCAGCCTATCGATATTTCCACTCTTTACTAATACGAATTTCGACATGATTTTAAGTTCTACGAACTGAATTAATTCTCCTCTTCAAGAAACACTATTATAATAGCAATTTGGAGTAAAGGAACCCCTCCATCGAAGGGTCCCAAAAATTGTCACGTAACTGCGCCCATACGTATATATGGAGGCTGGCACATTTTGGCCGAAAAGGAGCATTAAGTATATCTTGGTCTTTGTATGCAGCACTTATCCGTACGAATGTATCCATTGTATCCGGATTATCCAGGACGTTTAAGCTACTTTATGCCACAATTTTCTCAAGAAAATTGTGGCATAAAGTACCGTATATATATATGTATTGCGACAGGTGATATTTCACAACCGGCCGACACTCGTTCTCAAAATTTTGTTAATCCATAGTGTCATACAAATTTAAAGTATATTCAACATATTCACAAGTAAATATCAGGTAAAAAACGTAACTAATAATGATTTAACATCGAAATTTCGTGGGTTTAACTGACTGTGAGTACTATTGGATTTTGTTATGTAGGACTTTGTATGTAGAATAAATAAAGCGACCGTCGAGGTCGAAAGACCGTGGCGTTTAATAGTATCTCGTTCTGACGATGGCCGATCTGTTGTCTTTATGTTCGAGGACTTGCACCATACCTAAGGCGGGGTCTGGTTGCACCAACAAAAAAATACTCCCTCCGTCCCAAATTAATTGTGCGAATCAGAAATTAGAAATATGCCTCCTTGAATAATAATAGAAATCCGTAGAATTTGATTGTTAAAATCCAAATAGAAAGCGACAATTTAATTGACTCTCAGCCAATCAAATACCGACAATAGACTAACTTTGAACACACTATTTCATCCTGGCACTGACAATGCACCACATATTGGTAGTAAGTCATTATTATCCTAAATCTAAACAAATGGGTTCAATGCCTAACTCACCCATACTGTAGTAGCCAGCAAGTCATCCATCTCACTGTCAGTCAGGGCAATAGCCTCGAGTTCGCGTGTAATGGCCCTCGCTTCTTGGAGCTCTTGGGTAAACACGCGATCCAATTCATCACAATCCAAAGCCGACCGACACCCATTTTCAGAATAATGGTCGTTGATAGTGATCGTATAATATGATAAATTGTATTAATTTTTTGGATTGACGAAACTCATTGTTTCGAACGCCAATTTTGACCCATCAATGCACCATTGACCTTGGCGCGCTCTTTGCGTTGAGCCAATCAAAGTAGATTATTTCGCTCTAAGGCGGGTGACATTGTGTTTTGAAATCCTTTTAAAAATTTAATACGCCGGAATCTAAACCCTCCCCAAACTCACGCAATTAATTTGGGACGGAGGGAGTAACAGAAAAAATATGTTGTACAGTACTGTAAACTCCTCCCAAAAAATTGGGATCAATATTGAAGAAAATAGTATAATCAGTGATGTCGTAGTTAATATTATAGAAGTCAAATTTTACAGTCACCTCAAAGTGGATTTCATACGACGATACGAAATGGCCGACAGCACACTTATCCTTGGCTTCTTACGTCGATGGTTCAAAGTACGAAGACGAAACAAATTGTTGAAGAACATGCGCTACCACTACACAACGTATGTGGCAAAGCTGCCCAAGCGCATTTCGATTCTCTCCGGCGCAGCATGGATGAACGAAATGTTGAGTGGCAATGAGCACGCTTTTTTCTAGAACTTTCGAATGCCCAGCATGAACTTCCGAGCCCTTGTCAGAGACCTCTCCAGCCATGCTGGTTTGCAGTCGTCTTAGCACATCGGCAACAACGAACGAACAACTAGGCATCTTTCTCTTCTTCGCGGGACAGCATGCATCGTGCGCTCAACTTCAACAGCGGTTCCAGCACTCACCTGACACGATCACGCGGCATTTACGGCACGTAGTAACGTGCATGAACGCTTTGGCAGCGACGTACATCCAAATCTCTCCAAACGACAGCCATAGGCCATGGAAATCCACAACAACACCAAGTTCTATCCCTTCTGGGAGAAGTGTAGAATGGCAGTGGATGGAACTCACGTTCTTGTGTGGGCATCACTTGTGGCTCCATTCCAAGGACGAAAAGGTGTCACCATGAACGTGCTTGCCGCATGCGATTTCGACCCGTTGATCGATATGGTGTCAACGCCTTTGCTGTCAACGCAAAACCGGCATCCATGATGTCGAAAACATCGACAGGTAGCTCGTAGCCTTGTGGTCAACGCGTCCGCATACACCTTGCCATCACCAGCTGATCCCTCCCACCCAGTAAGGACATAGGTGAACTTGAAGGTATCACTTGAAGGAGTATGGCCGAGGACAACAAGCACCACAAAGCAAACAAGAGCTTTTCAACTTACTACACGCAATGCTTTGGAACGTGGTTGAGCGCATATTTGGCATCCTCAAGCGGCGGTTCCCTGTGTTGGCCTACGCAGTGCGGTAAGCCTATTCATTTCAAGTCCAGCTGGTTATGGCAGTGTGTGTCGTGCCCAATTTTATTCGTGTCCACGGATGCTGGAATGATGTATACGTCGTTGATGCACTTCGAGAGCTTCGCCAACAGTGCAGAGATCCCCTGACCGAAGCCGACGAGCCCCAACATCACCCAGCAATGGATAGCACGGCTGCAAAGTTATGGCGTGACGAAATCGATGAGGCAATTTGGCAGCAGTATCATAACACCCTGCGCTAGCGCGTGAACAATCGCGGCAATAACTAATTAGTACGATTGATATACTACTAGCTAGTACTTCATAAAAATCACTACGTAGTTAACAGTGAAGTCAATGAATTTTGAAATGATAATCAATTAGTGCATCACAAAGTTGTCGATTCCAGTGCGACATTAGTGTGTGTCAGAGTTGGCACAAGTTCGTAGCGACAAGTTATGAGCTAGTTCTAATAGCCAATAGCAGACCTCTGAGTGTATATGTACTATGAAACCCCTGAGAACAAGTTCAAGCGACAAGTTGCAGCACCATGGTGAAGATCAGTGACCGGCAACTCACTTTGCGTCATACACGCTCTCAGGTGAAACGTCGCCGGGTCATACGACTTGTTTGATGAGAGTGATAGTGAGGAAGATGACCTGGACCACGAGCTCCTGCACATGCTTCGCACAATTGAGCACCAGCGTTATTCTGTCGTGCGGTCTTGTGGCCCATTCACGCGTACACGGTTCCACCATTTCTTGTACGAAATCAAGGAGTCTCGTTTCCGCAAGCTGTTTCGGATGGAGCGTCGCTCATTTAACAGCATAGTCGCTCTTATTGAGCCACAGTCAGTGTTTGCGGTCGTGCGTGGCTAAGTCGCCGAAAGCCCAGTGTCCCACCACTTGCTCGTGTTCTTGTACTACATGGGAGAGAATGGAAATGCCGTTTCGAACGAGCACATGGCGTCGTTCTTTGGCATTGGTGCCAGCATAGTCAGTGTGTTCATTGGACGTACCACCGATGTCATTGTTTTGCGGCGTGGTCAATTCATATACTGGCCGAATAACGACGTAACCTTTTCAATGGCTGCCGAAGTTAAAAGTATGTGTGGCTTTTCGAACTGCGTTGGCTTCATCGATTGAGTTCAAGCCCACGTTGTATGGTGAGGACTACTACAGTACTCGCGCAAGGGGTGCTACGCTGTAGCGGCTCAAATGGTTTGTGACCACCGCGCTATCATTCGCGACATATACACTGGGTGGCCTGGGTCAATTTACGACAACCGAATTTGGCGCAACAGCAAGTTGTTCAACCTGTCTAGGCAATACTTTGATCGGAGTCAATATTTGTTGGGTGATTCTGCGTACCAAATATCTACTTGCCTGGTACCTGCATTCAAAATTCAAACTCATCAAGCCATGGAACATCATAAATCGTGGTTTAATTCGCATCTTGCAAAAGGCCGTGTCAAAGCTGAGCACTCCATTGGAATGTTGAAGGGCCGATTCCAACATTTAAAACGAATTCGCAAAATCATGGATGGAAAAGCTAATGATGTCCATCATCAAAACAATCCTTGCGGCATCAATCCTGCACAACATTTTGGTCACCGAGAACGACATTGTCCCAGCATCGTGGATCGAGCTACAAGTCAACTGTAATTGCAATGCTGATTTGCGTGGGTGTCGAGTATGTTTTCCCATCAATACAGTGGAACATGGCGACGCAATCGAGAGTGCTGACAAACGCAGTAGTATAGTCGAAGAAGTTCTTGTTGACACGGGCTACCCTTTTTAACTAGTTACGTTTCCAATTTTCCAATTCACAGAGTTTATTACATTGGACATGCTAAATTGATGTCGACATCACTCCACCCCCGTTCTTTTATATCCTTTCGTGTTTGGATCTTTCTAATGCGTGCATCAACTTCTGCAGTTTCACGCGCAAGCTCGAACTTCCAATGCGCTTCCTCGGCTTGGATGGTCAAAGGCGGAACATTGAGTTTGGTTTCCTCGGTAAATCTGGCCTCGCGTTGCTTGTACACTTCCATATTCTGCTTCTCCACATCACGGGTAAGCTCCAGCTGTTCCTACTTCAGCGCATAAGCACGCGCACTGATCTCGCTCCAGTCGTCCATCTTCGCCGCTGCCGCCGTCCTCTTCTTGGCTGAATTGGGCGCACTGACTGGAGTCGGAGGAACGTCTTTATCGCTCGAATTACCGTCTTGCAGGTTGTCACTTGTTACGAGTGGTGCCGTCGACGCACGATCACGCATCACTTCGTCCAGCACATAGTAGTATGGACAAAGCCGTTGTACCTCCTTTTGGATGCTGTCTTCGTCAACGATGCCCTGCCCAGTGTTGTCGAGCCAATCGCAGGCAGAGCGATACGATCGCTCGATGTCGCCAATCTTCTGGAGACGTCCTTGGCCGTACGATAGTGGATTCTGTTGCTCTTGAGCCGTTCCACAACCTCGGAGGCCAGAGAGGCCTTGGTCGAACCGCTGCGCTTGTTGCCGCCTTTCCAGCGCACGTAGTTTGTCTCCACAGACATCCAAGCAATCACAGCATCCATGCTGGTTTTGCCGTCGCCCACCGCATCTTTGGTCCATAGAACTCTCTGGGATATAGTACGCTTGGTCGAGGCATCAGCTCTCGAGGAAGCTGCCTTGCGTGGTGGCTTATCGGGGTGTTTGGTCGCTGCGGGTGTGGCAGTTGGATTGTCCAATCGCTATCTAGATCCTCTCAAATGCTATCCATCGAAATCGAACATTTTCCCTGCCAGACTCGTAACTTGTCGACTTGTCAAGAATTTCTCACAAGTTGTGGCAGCTCCGACAGGTTGCAATGTTTATAACCAATCAAAACAAAGTTTGTTACTTGTTGCCACGAACTTGTGGCAACTCTGACACCCACTATTGGTGTCGTAACCACGCTTCGCGCAAACTGCCTTGAGCTTCATAAAGAGCTTTGCCTTCTATGAATCCGCTACGACTTCAATAGCCTTGAGCATGTCGTTCTCTTTGAATACACACTCGAACTCGGCTTGGAGAACTTCAACCGCCATCTCGACAGTGCTCTCGACGTTGTCTACCAATGCTCGATGCTCCCAACATGGCCTTTGAGAATATCGCAAGTTCTTGGGACATCGTGTCGTTTTGCGCCTTCAACTAGGCAGCAAGGACCGTAGCAGCAGACTGACGAAGCCGCTTTGATAGAGATACATCCAACGAAACTCGACGGCGCTTCATTTGAAGGGGGGTTCTTCGTCGTCTCCATCTTGATCGACCTCGAGACTGTGCTCAACAACAGACCCACAGTCAAGTTCAATTGTGTTGTCACCAACTACAGAGGCAACCCCGTGCACATCGCCGTCGCTGTCGAAGTGGGGTGGAGTTGAGAAATTGGGCCATTCGATGCCAAGACGTGCTTTCCTTTCGCAAGGGTCCCAGCGTAGAGAACTTCACACAGATCAAACAAGTTGAATGGTCAGTTTCTCCATTTCTTCACGACGTCGCTCTTGCCGTGCAGAAGCGTTGCCCATGTCGTTGAGATGCACACAACCAGAGATGCCTGAAGAATTCGCCATGCTCCAGACCAACGAGAACTTCTCCTTCAAGGTTATGTTCCATGACAGTCATGGAACATAAATGAATATATTCCAATAAAAATGACTATTTCCCAACCTCAGCCATGACTTCTATATTCCAATAAAAATAACTATTTCCCAACCTCTGCCATGACTTCACCTGCATCATGGAGAACGAGCAGCCGGGGACACTGTTGAGGTTGACAAGCGCACACGCCCAGGTTTCCTTCTTGAATCCACTGTTCGAGCGCTTTCCCAAGACATTCGCTTGATGGATCATTTCGTTGAATCATGCTCATCGGTTCACACAGTCATCGTGTTGGCTTCTTGAAAAACTGGGAATGGAAGAATTCAGAATATAAAATATGAAGCTCAGAGCTGCATTTATATTCTGTCATATGGTGGGCGTCATCTACAAGTATAAACTACCAACTTTCACAAAATTTTCTGACTTCTATTTCATATTCATTACTCAAAATTTCAGCAAATTGAGACGTAGAATCGATAGATCTCAATGTGGCGAAGAAATTCTACGTCTCATATTCAAATTTGGTGATGAATTGGTCCTGAAATAGATATTTAACCTAGCGGTATTTTACATGGGCGTTTGGATATTTGGCCATAGGGGTAGCCGCTGCGATGTATCTTGATTTTTGTATGTGACTCTTATCCGTATATAATATCCGGAGGATGTCCAGTGATAAAACGCATGAAATCGAACAATTAATGTACGTTAAATAATAAAACCTCAACTCTTCGATTTGGCCAGTTGGAAGCTTTTAGATGACATGCACCATAAAACGTCAAGTTTTTGGCAAATATTGCAAGACGTCGACGCGATCACATTGCACTTGTACACACCACCGTTTGACCAGTGCCGACTGTGGCACGACACCCCGGACGCGACCAACGCTACCATTGGGCATTGTAGATATGACTCTGAATACGGGAATTATTAGAGGCATCATATATCTAACGTCGTCGCTGATCTTGTGGCATCATAGTCTCCAATGTGCTACTTACGATTCGACTCGTTGTTGAATGCAAAGCTCATAATCAGGGGAAATTCAGTTGACCTGGGTGTTTGCTCCTTGTCTGAGTGAAGCTACTGTTGTTGTTAGTCTACAGTTCATCACATATTGAGGCATGCTCTTGTTGCAATACAATACGTACTGCAGAAACACACAACCGCCTACCCATAACAGTATGATGTCGCGTACTCCAGATTATCTAGTCGCTGTAACGTTGGGTCGCAACAAATATTAAATTACTGAGCTTGACCTCTCCACGCAAACTACACTGGTCGATTTCCAAACATGGTGTCGTAGGTGGCGATGGCTGTGGTAGCGTTGGTCGCATCCTGGGGGTCGTGCCACAGTCGGCACTGGTCAAACGGTGGCGCGTACAAGTGCAATGTGATCGCGTCGACGTCTTCGCTGGGGTTGCCCACTTTGTGCAGACCCAGCGAGTCGTCCATGTACGACACGCCGTGAGAAATGAGCGCGTTCGCCGACTCCACGAGCGCCTCGCCGTCGCTTTCGTAGCGAACTTCGTTGACGATTCCCTGGATGTGTCGAATCCAGCAGCCATCGGACGGGTGGTCGTGAATGGGGCTGTACTTGCCCTTGTTCCAGCACAGCACGATGAGCGAATAGGACATGTTGTCGGTGGCCACGAGGTTGCGCGTGTAGTTTCGCGTCCGATCAAAGTTGATAAAGGGCTGGAGGTCGTTCATGTTGCCGTCGAAGGCAGCCAAGGCTTGGTGGATTGCGTCCTTCTTCTCTAGTGTGATGGGACCGTCGTGGAGTTGGATCTCTTCTTCGATGACTCGCACGAGGTCGTGGAGGGCCAAAGGGGCGAACGAGTTGCTCATAGGGGGGGGCTTAGACGCATCTTGCAGGCGTTGTTGCATGTCGAGGTCCACGTTAGGCCACGTGGAAGTCACGGCGTTGATGAATTGGTTGTTGGCCGACTGGATGCTAATGGGGGACGCTAGTATCGACAGACCTCGTTCGGTCATGGATTTGTTGAGTTGAAGCTGGTTGGACTTGTTGGGGCCTCGCCGGCGATGCTCTTTGGCTTGATTTACAACGTAGTGTAGTCCTTTGGACATCGCTTGGGCGTCCAGTTTCACGGGGCATCGGGTGAACATGATGTGCACGGGGGATTGTGGGGGACGAGTGATAAAATTGAATGAAAACTGGGGCCCAGACATCTTGCCTACTGTAGAGCCGCCAATTTAGACATGGAATACGATTAGCAGGTGAAAGATGCCGATAACCGGCGCCAGTTACAAAACCAGTTACGTTGTTTTTGTTTCAAATGCAACATCGCTGCCACCCACAACACGAAGTTGTCCCGCAATACTACGAATGCCAAGGTTCAACCATGCCCTAGGATACATGCATGTCGGAACGGCCAAAGGTAGGACGGAACAAAACAAAGATACGTCGGATCGTTGAGTGGAGTTTGAATCTCAAGGCAGCGGAAGTACCGAGTGTCCAGCCACCGTGCCTGGCAGATTGCATCCATAAACGTCAATTGGCCATCGTTGCGCGAAGCCTGGCCTTGGGGACAAGGATAAAATACAACGTTCGTCGTGTTAGCACTCCTCCTTATCGTTCCACCGCTGTAGCTCTTGTCGATTGGCGCATAGAAATAGAAGTGTAACTACGGTCAGCAAGTCCCAAGAGCCCTCGCAAACATCCAAATTGCACTTCCACTTGCTGATACTCCATCTTGCCACTGGAGGGCTTGGGGGGTTGGTTCACTGCATGACTTGGTCTCATTTGGCATAAATCAAACCACGTGACCAGGCACAGGCGAGCACCGTTATAGCACGTGAATACATGTTGCTGCGTTTTTCTTCCCACATAAGATTGCTTGTGGCCCTCTCGCTGAACTTCGATCCTTCTCTTCGGTGTGTCGAAACGTTTCAAAGCGAATGACGTCGGAACAGGGGCGATGGCAGGCGCCGTTGACGTCAATGTTTAAACGATGCTGATTGTACCTTGAGGCTGAGAGTGACAATATGTTTGGAGCTGGGTTTACCAAACAGAACTAAGCTTATCACCTCCTAGAAGGGGTGGGGCGCCGGGGTCATCGATCCGATTTGGTTACGTGCATTGTTTTTGACAACACCCCCACCACTCCCTTCCTCAAGGTGAAGGTGCATTCGAACGCTTCAGTCCAACGATTGGTATGAGGTTATAAGAATGGGCACCAGTGTTCATGATCAAAAAGCAGTGCGATGAATAGTAGAAGGAATTGTTGTTGCCTGAATATTCGAATTTGAACAAGTGAGTTTTCACGTCGGAACGTTGCGAAATCTGGTCACTCGTAAATCAAGTTTTACAACTCACACAAGGAGTTGACCAGAACAGTGAGCAAGTGCACTTTCAGATATTTCAACACGTGTGTAGATTCAACATCCATAGACAGAGTTTGATCAACGCGCTCCTTCGACATATTTTAGGCGATGGAATGGAATGTAACCGCGCAGTGTGAGTGCGACAGGCTCGAGTTCCGACCAAAAGCTCCAATGTGTTCCGACGTGATGGAGCTCTAAGATTCGAACTACCGTTGGTAGTAGTAACCGGCACCGTAACCAAATTATGTATCGGAAAGCTTCAAGAGATCATGCTTGTTGTTGTTGTTCCAGTGGCATATTTCGTCGCCAGCGCGAATTGACACAGTAAGGCACTCCATTTGGAGTCAAGCGTGCGTTGGCGAGCAAGTTTCATCAGTCGCCATCAAGGCTCAAACTCAAAGGGCAACTTCGATCTATCAAACGTCGGAACGTTTCAAATTGTCCCGGGTCGGAGTACTCACGCCGTTTCGCACACCCTAGGATGCTCCATATTGTCGCATCCACTACTCCGACCCGGGACAATTTGGAGTTGTGGATGGCGACTGATGAAACTTGCTCGCCAACGCACGCTTGACTCCAAATGGAGTGCCTTACTGTGTCAATTCGCGCTGGCGACGAAATATGCCACTGGAACAACAACAACAAGCATGATCTCTTGAAGCTTTCCGATACATAATTTGGTTACGGTGCCGGTTACTACTACCAACGGTAGTTCGAATCTTAGAGCTCCATCACGTCGGAACACATTGGAGCTTTTGGTCGGAACTCGAGCCTGTCGCACTCACACTGCGCGGTTACATTCCATTCCATCGCCTAAAATATGTCGAAGGAGCGCGTTGATCAAACTCTGTCTATGGATGTTGAATCTACACACGTGTTGAAATATCTGAAAGTGCACTTGCTCACTGTTCTGGTCAACTCCTTGTGTGAGTTGTAAAACTTGATTTACGAGTGACCAGATTTCGCAACGTTCCGACGTGAAAACTCACTTGTTCAAATTCGAATATTCAGGCAACAACAATTCCTTCTACTATTCATCGCACTGCTTTTTGATCATGAACACTGGTGCCCATTCTTATAACCTCATACCAATCGTTGGACTG